GTAAGTTGGTTGACGTACACATGAATAGCTCATGAAAACCTGAAATTGTACTTTCCTTGCTGAAAAATTGAGCAAAAGACAAAAGTTCCAAAATTGTCTATATCTCTGTTTGGGGACCTGTAAAGAGTACCTTTGTACCAAATTCCATGTAAATTGGTCAAAACAAGGCTAAGTAATTGACCAAAAACCCTAAAATTATGGGTTTATTTAGTCTTTTGACCCCCCATAAAATGACCAAAATTGGGCATATCCTGCAATTTTGTGTGTATATGTATGGGATCTTAAAAAAAGTATATTTGTACCAAATTCCATGTAAACTGACTGAAATACAGCTGAGTAATTGTCAAAAACCCTAAAATTATGCTTTTTATGGCATCTTGACCCCCCCCCCTGTATAATTACTAAAAATGGGCAAGTCCATCATTTTTATGTCAATGTGTAGGACCTGTAGAAAGGTATCTTTGTACCATATCCCATGTAAGTTGGTCGAAATATGGCTGAGTCATTGACCAAAAACCCCAAAATTATGCTTTTTTTTGTGAACTGTTACTCCCCTAAAAGACTCAAAATGGACAACTCCAACATTTTGTATATCAATGTGTTGGCCACATGAACATTTAAATTTTTGCCAATTTTCATCTTGATTGCTATAAGTATGACTGCACGGGAGCCTGAAATATATTTTGGGTTGTTTGACCTATGAACCTATAAAATTCTTAAAAATGCCTAAATCAAAAAATTGAAAAAGGTATCTAGGCATATTAGGTATAACCCTACCAAGTTTCAAGTCAATCTGTAGAGAATGATGGAATGGTGGTCGATTGAAAAGTGTTTGTAAGAAGAAGAAACATCAGAAAAACATTATGTCTCTCTGCAGAAACAAAAATGAAGCTACTTGTCATAGTAGCAAAAGAATTTTCTTTTGTTTTTCTTGAAAAAAATATCAAAAATGTGTAAAACAGTTTCATTTTCTTGCTCATTTAAAACACTAGAAATACAGCTTTTTTTCCATGAGGTGGTTTATCTTTTTCTTTTATTATATGTATTTGTTCTAATATAACAGTGTATGCATAATTATACTGGAAAAAAGTTTATGTTGGTATTACCTGATTAGTATACTTTTATTGGTAAAAAAACTTAAATAAAATGTTTTTAAACTAAGAACAATTTTTGATCTGAACTACTGAGCATTACGCATTTTCTCCCATGACTATATATATATAGTTTAGAACTGTATTTAACAATCCCTTGATTGTTACTTGCTTGACTGTAATGCTGATACACAGTACCATTGCAGAAAGAATTAGATAGGCATTCATGTTACATAGCTGCTACAGATTTGCAAGAATTTGGCCCACTGCTGTGCCAGGAAAATTCAGATCCTGATAATTCAGAACTAGAAGTGACTGAAAATTACTGTGTGTCATCCTTGAAGGTTAGGCCATTATTTTTTTTTATTATTTAAATGTTATGGGAACTTTTATTGCACAAAATGGTTAATGTATAAACACTTCTAAAAGAAATTATAATTTACTTATTTCAAATGACCTCTCTTTTTTTATGTGACACGTGTGACAATTATAGAAAATGGCATTATGAAAATTTTAAAATATGTATTTATGTTAGAGTGGGTAATTAGAAATCACAATACTAGCTAGTCAAGCTATTTTGTCTTGATTCAGTGGTGTTAGGGTTATTCACAAATTGATCTGTAATGTGCAGTTCTGTAGTATGGAGCTGGTACTGGTTTATTTTCAACCACACCATCACAAGTATTTTTATCCCTATTTAGTTATTTTATATACATTTGGTTATCTGAAAAGGGTACTTTAGGGATTTAGTGTTTTTTAAAAATACCCCTACCTTTGTATAGAAAAATCACTTAATGCAGCAATGTGCAAGTAGCACTGTTTTATTTCATTTACAGCTTATTTTGGTTGATAATTGTATTAATACCTGTCATCAAGGTCAGGCCTCGTGCCTGTGGGCAATCAACTTAGGGTGAGCAAAATAACAACCAGTCTTTCCTGATAGATTATATTGTGTTGTCTGGCTGTCTAGTTTGCATAGAAACTGGGGAGAGGAAGTTGTCTTGACAAGGTTCCAAATTGACCATAGTTTTCCTAAACATAGATTTTTTTTTATGAGAGATTGATCCACCAATGTGTAGGCTTTGTGATGTTCAAGTTACAACTGCACATGTTTTACTTTCAAAGCACCACTATGGCTGCCAGCAGTGGCATAATTTTAGACCTATTTTACCTTGAGGTTTGAATTTGATGTTGGACAGTGGTGACAATATCCAGTTGTTTTTAGCTTCTTAGAGTCATTAGACTTTTCACTTCTATTTAATTTTAATCCTTGTTTCACAAAAGGAAAACAAGGATATTTTTGATCTACATTTTTTTCTCACATACATTACTATGACATTTTAAAAACATATAAGAAAAGTTTGGCACAGATAACCCTGGTGCTTTGCACCATAAAGCCCCAATAGCCTATCTATCTACCTTCCAATTATAGTAATCTAATGGTAAGCAAAATGTAAACTGTTTTGTCTTGTTAGTCTCTAACTACCTCTTTGCATAATAGTTTTATACAAAAATCTGCACTCTCACAAGGCCCTGAACAACAACAAAAACAATACTCATTATTCATTATTACTACAAAGAAAAAAATAATTATTATATATATATATATATATATATATGCATTTGGCAAAAACTTGTTTGGAACATGTATAGTGGGCATGTCATGATTATTTGTACATCGTAGAATACTTAATTCTTCAAGACTTGAAACATCGCTTGATAACTTCACCCTTTTCTAACCTTTAAGAAATAAAATGTGGTCTAGATTTCAGTTATGTTTCTGTCAATTGGGAAAGTTAAATATTGTTTGATATGTCAGCTACCGAGACACAGTTTTGGTCAAAGTTCATGATGTGTCATGATCACATACCCCAGAGATTCCACTTTCCTTACATTAAGTACAATAATGTATTACTGTAGAAAATTTTCTTTTGCTTGTTTCTTGACTTTTGTTCAGGCTTTTCAACTATAGAACTAGATTTTCATTGTCTAAGGTTACAGAAAACTGTAAAGCGTACAGATGATAGTTGTTGGAAATTATGAATAGAATTTAGTTATGGTGACTGAAGTTTGTTTTATGATAATAATGGAGAGGGCAAATGTGTGCTCCTGAGTAGAAATTTTACTTTTCATTTGGGATTCAAAATGACTTCAAGTTTTGGGAACATGCTGGTACATATGGTAGATTAATCAGTGTGATCTGTACTATAAGGTTGGAGGGGGGGGGGGACATGCCTACTAATTATTATCATGTATATTGTTTTCCAACTAGAAGAATGATGCAGTTACTGTAATGTAACTTAATTAATTACTTAATTTTAAAATTGTAAACTTAAAAAGATACATACTAGTACTGTAGGTTTATAAGGGTTGAGGGTACTTTCCCCGTTCCAAATGATTGGTGCCTATGCACCATATAATATTAGAGAAAAACATGTTGACACAATAAAGTAAGTAACATCAGTTTAATAAGTAACCAGAAATGAATACTGTTAGCTGTGACAGTTTTGTACTGAAACACAAAGAAAAAATAATACTAAGTTAATCCTGTATTCTGTGTTTGTGCAGGCTATCCATCAGCTTATGAGAGTGCAACAGTCTGAGTTTTTATGCAGATTGAGTCTTATATTCTTGAAGGATGCTCTTCCATCATCAAGAGCTAAGGAATCTGGTAAGAATCAGAAACACAAGTATAAAAATGAGTTACATGGGTTTATATTTTGTACTCTTAAATCAAGATTTTCAATATGTGAGAAATGGATAATTTAAAGAAATAATTCTTTTTCTTGAATGTTTAATCACATGGCTGTTATTTATTATTCAGTGAGTGCTCTCACATATATTACTACCCTTTATTGTTGGTTAAGTTTGATGTTTCATTTCTTTTGGGAAAGATTTATATAATCCTATAATGTAGACTAGATTGGACAGGTTTGACTCGTAGAGGCAGTTAAGTAAAACTTTGAAGCATGGATTAAAATCAATATTATTTATTGATGAAATATACCCACTAAGTAAAATTTCTGACTGTGAGTTAACTGGCATTATCTAATAATTTGTTTCAAATAACATTTTTGTAATATACAAATAATGTGTAATTTTTATGTAAAAATAGATATTGTAAGAGATAGGTTAGTAAGCATATTTTGATTTAATAAAAATAAATAATTGTTTGTTTTTAAGAAGTATAAGTAAAAATTTTAGCATTTTTAAAATTATTTTGTATAAATTGTTAACTTGTATTTCTTGTGATTTATAGTTTTGATGTAGGATGATGACTCAACTGTTAGCCTAACAAGGAGGCAGATTGTATTTATGAATAGAGTAGTCAGTATGATCCAATTTTCCAAAAAACTTTCAAGAGTTGGATTGTTTTATTTTGTGCCATTTTTATAATGTGTATTTAATAGACCAAAGACATTATAGTTCACTGATGATGCATCATGTGATTGGGTGATTATGTCTAACAGTGGATTTCTTTTGCTACTAAATTGTCTTCCTTTACAAATGTACACCAACAGGTTATTGAAAATATTGTTGTGATGCTGTTTTAAATGATGAATATAATTTTATAGAAGTGTGCGTGTGTGTGTGTATATATATATATATATGTCCATGGCAGTGAGCTAGAGGGGATTGTGTGTGTGTATATATATATATATATATATGTGTGTGTGTGTGTGTGTGTGTGTGTCCATGGCAGTGCGTTAGAGAGAATTGGGATTGTGTGTGTGTATGTATATATATATATATATATATGTGTGTGTGTGTGTGTCCATGGCAGTGCGTTAGAGA